TCATGTCTAAGGCGGGACTAGAACTCACCGTTTCCTGGTGATTGGCCCAAAGTCACCCAGTTGGCTTGGAACCCTAAGGCAGAACTAGAACTCACAATCTCCTGGTTATTAGTCCAAAGTAATCAACTGACTTTTATAGATAAGGCTGAACTAGAACTCCCCATCTCCTGGGGATTGGCCCAAAGTCACCCAGTTGGCTTGGAACCCTAAGGCAGAACTCACCATCTCCTGGTTATTTGCCCAAAGTCATCCATTGACTTTTATACCTAAGGCAGAACTAGAATTCACTGCCTCCTGGCAATTGGCCCAAAGTCTCCCAGTCTTCTTTCAAGCCTAAGGTGGAACTAGAACTCACCGTCTCCTGGTGATTGGCCCAAAGTCTCCCAGCCGCCTTTCACGTTGAAGGCAAGACTAGAACTCACCATCGCCTGCTTTCTACCCTGCTGCCTTAACCACTAGGCCATACTGATTCTTGTCTAGTCCCTCTGTCCAAAAGAGGCATTCGGCACGTGCTCAGAGGAGCAAAACTCTTTCCCATTTCCTGAGGCCTTCTCTAAGCTGCTTTGTCCGGGGAGCCTTGTTCGCCCCGGGGGAGCCTATTCTCCCGAAGGCCGCCTCCGTCTCCCTTGCGCCTTGCCGACAGAGACGGACCCGCTCCAGCCGCTTCCAAGGGAACGCATCATATGTTCTGCAAGGGCCCTAATTAGGAGTAGCATTAGGCTCGGTAATTGGCCGATCCATCCTGGTTTCCCGCTTTCCACTTTGCCAGAGTGGGGTTCAAGGTTACGGAGGCCACGGAAATGGATTCGCCTCAAGCTCCATTAGGCAATTCCATCAGAGGGAGGTCGCCCAGCCGAGGAGGCCTGGACTCCGCCAGAGAAGCTGGAGCAGGAAATATATCCCTTTGCACTCTGTAAGGGCTGTTGCTCAACCTCCGCCAATTTAAGATGGAGGGGGGGGGACTTCAACTCCCAGAATTCCCCAGCCAGCAAAGGGATTCTGGGAGTTGAAGTCCACTCATTTTTTTATTTTTTTTGAAAACAATTTTATTAGTTTTTAAAGACAAACAAAACAAACAAAACATAAAAACATCCAGCTTTCTTTCATAAATATACATGCCGGCTGGGGGATTCTGGGAGTTGAAATCCCCCCATCTTAAAAGCATGGTGGATGAGGGATTCTGGGAGTTGAAGTCCAGTCATCTTAAAGCATGCTGGCTGGGGGATTCTGGGAGTTGAAGTCCACCCATCTTGAAGCATACTGTCTGGGGGATTCTGGGAGTTGAAGTCCACTCATTTTTTATTTTATTTTTTGAAAACAATTTTATTAGTTTTTAAAGACAAACAAAACAAACAAAACATAAAAACATCCAGCTTTCTTTCATAAATATACATGCCGGCTGGGGGATTCTGGGAGTTGAAGTCCACTCGTCTTAAAGCTTGCTGGATGAGGGATTCTGGGAGTTGAAGTCCCCCCATCTTAAAGCATGCCAACTGGGGTATTCTGGGAGTTGAAAAAGAGTCCCAGGTCAATTTTTTCAGTACTGTTGTAAATTCAAACCGTCAATCAATGAATGGCTGTAAGTCAAGGACCATCTATCTGTATATCTCTGAAATGGCTCCGTTCACTTCCATTGGAGAAAGTTCGGAGTTTCTGGACACCTTTAGGCCCGAGAAGAAGAGAAAATGAACAAGGTTACCATCGCTCTCCTAAAATCCTTGAAACCTGAGGGTCTCCTGAGAAGCAGCCACAACAACAAAGGAGGGGCCTGCGGCCGCACAAAGGTGCATTTTGAGATTTGTGACAGTCGCACATACACCCCTGTGGGAACTTAAGTCTTCACTGGCTGTCACAGAACCAGAGATTTCAGTGACAGGAAGTCAAATGCTGGCTGAGGGTCAGAGAAACGTCCCCTGAGAGAAAACGCCGGAGATCCTAAGAGTGGTTAAACCATAACCCAGTCTGGGATGGATATATATATGTATATATATATTTCTCATTGCAAATGTCTGTGGAGATTCTCAGCCATCCAGGTCCTGGTTGTCCCAAAGGTGGCTTTTTTCAAGAGGCAACTGGACTTTCTGGGGTTGTTTTTTTCTTTTGAAGACGTTTCCCTTCTCATCCCAGAAGCTTCTTCAGTTCTGACTGGATGGAGGGAAACGGAAGGATTTCTACACCTTGCAGACAGCTGGTCATTTGCATCCTTTTAGAGGGTCGTTGAGGCCACTTGGAGGTTTGTCTGTGTCCTCAGTTGTCCCAGAGGTGCTTTTATTTCAAGAGGCCACTGGACTTTCTGGTTTTTCTTTGAAGATGTTTCGCTTCGGATCCCAGAAGCTTCTTCAGTTCTGACTGGATGGAGGGGAACGGAAGGATTTCTACTCCTTCCAGACAGCTGGTCATTTGCATCCTTTTAGGGGGTCGCTGAGGCCACTTGGAGGTTTGTCTGTGTTCTCATAGTGCACATGGGTTTGAAGTCTTCTTGGAACGGCTGAAAAGACCGTGTTATAGACAGGAGAAGTCCTTTCAGCGGTCCCAAGAAGACTCCACACCTATTTGCACCACTCAGGTGACCCCGAAGACACAGATTAAACCTCCAAGTGGCCTCAATGACTCTCTATAAAGGATACAAACGCCAGCTGTCTGCAAGGAATAAAAATCCTTCCCTTCTCCCACCGGAAAAGTTTCTTGGATGAGAAGCGAAACATCTTCAAAGACAAAAAACCAGAAAGTCCAGTTGCCCCTTGGTGAAAAAAAAGTACCTTTGGGGTTTTCATTGCAATGCGGGGGGGGGGAGAGGGGTTGAACTGGATGACCTCAAGGGTTCCTTCCATCTCAATGCAATAGCCTCCAATAATGGTGCCTTTCCGCCTCTGCAGGCTCCGAGAACGAGGTCACGCAGGTGAACCGCTGCCTGGACGCCGCCAAGGCCTGTAACGTGGACGCACTCTGCCAGCGACTCCGGACCGAGTACGTTTCCTCCTGCATCCGTCGGGGGCCCCGGGCCGACCCCTGCAACCGCTCCAAGTGCCACAAGGCGCTGCGGAAGTTCTTCGACCGGGTGCCGCCCGAGTACACGCACGAGCTGCTCTTCTGCCCCTGCGTCGACACGGCCTGCGCTGAGAGACGCCGGCAGACGATCGTGCCCACCTGCTCCTACGAAGCCAAGGAGAAGCCAAACTGCTTGGCGCCGCTGGACGCCTGCCGGGGAAACTACGTTTGCAGGTACCAAAGGACAGACAACATCACGTTCACACGACACGCTGACCCTTGTTGATGAATTATGACCTTTTGCCGGCTAACGGAAGCATCGGTTTTAACCAAACAAGCTGGGTTCACACACTTTCCTGCCCCCCTTCCCCCCAAAACTATCCAAGGTGAATCCTAACTAGGTTTGTCAAGCTGTTTTGTAATCCTGATTTGCAATCCTGTATTTCTAACAATCGGCCACGTCTTTTACAACATCCCTGTTTTGGAGAATGCCAAACTGATGGTGTTACCTAGTTGGGTGATGAAATGCTTGCAAGAAAGCAGCAAAGCTCAGAGAGCATCCAGGGCCCCCAGGGCCCCTGTACTACTTTCCTCTTCCTTCTCCTTCCCCTCCTTCCCCCTCCTTCTCCTCTCTTCCTCCTCCACTCCACAAACCCTACTCCCTTCTAGAACTGATGATATTACCTACTTGGGTAATGAAATGTCTGCAAGAAAGCAGCCAAGTTCAGAGAGCACTGAAGACCCCACCGTCCTCCTCCTCCTCCTTTCCCCCTCTTCCTCATTCTCCTCCTTCATCCTACTCCTCTTCCTCCTCCTCCATTCTGCAAACCCTACTCCCTTCTAGAACTGATGATATCACCTAGTAGGGTAATGAAACGTCTGCAAGAAAGCAGCCAAGCTCAGAGAGCACCAAGTACCCCATATTTCAACACAGAGCTATGAATATTTTCTTGGAAGTGGCTCTGCTCTTTCGCAATTTTTTTTTTATTTGTCAATCGCTTGCAAGGTAATAGGTATAAGTAAAAACATAGTTATGAATACGTGTATACATGTAAGAAATATATATATATATATATATATATATATAGGATGCATCATCATATATATGTTCTTTTAAGGATGCATCATCATATATATATATGAAACAATAGGACAGGGACGGTAGGCACGTTGGCGCGCTTATGCACGCCCCCTACAGACCTCTTAGGAAAGGGGTGAGGTCAATAGTAGACAGTCTAAGGTTAAAGTTTTTGGGGTTTGGAGAAGAAACCACAGAGTCAAGTAGAGGATTCCAGACATTGACCACTCTGTTGCTGAAGTCGTATTTCCTGCAATCAAGTTTGGTGCGATTAACCTTGAGTTTGTATCTATTGTGTGCTCTTGTGTTGTTATGGCTGAAGCTGAAGTATTCATTGACAGGTAGGACATTGCAATGTATGATTTTATATACTATACTTAGATCGGACCGAAGGCAACGTAGTTCTAGGTTTTCTAGGTCTAGAATTTCGAGTCTGGTGGCATAAGGTCTTCTGCAAGGAGTAGAGGAATGGAGAACCCTTCTTGTGAAATATTTCTCAACTGTGCTAATATCATATATGTAATGTGGGTTCCAACTGATGAGCTGCATTCAAGTATTGGTCTAGCAAATGTTTTGTATGCTCAAGTTAGTAGTGTGATATTACCAGAGAAAAAGCTATGTAGGATTAGGTTAAGAACTCTTAACGCCTTTTTGGCTATGTGGCTACAGTGGGCTCTAGCACTTAGGTCATTAGAGATGAGAACTCCAAGGTCCTTGACAGAGCTTGGATCCTCAACAAGGTCTTGACTATTCAGCCTGTATTTTATATTCTGATTTTCTTTTTTTGCCAATATGTAGGACAGAGCATTTATTTGTTGAGACTTGAAGTTGCCATTTGTTTGACCATTCTGATACATAGTCGAGGTCTTTTTGAAGGGTAGCAGTATTGTCTGTGGTGTTGAATAGCTTTACATCATCAGTGAAAAGAACGCAGTTGCTCTTAATATGATCACAGAAGTCATTTATGTAGAGTATGAAGAGAGTTGGTCCTAGAACACTGCCTTGGGGGACACCACTGTTGACAGGTACAGAATTTGATAGGATGCTCCCAATTTTGACCATTTGTTGACAGGAATGCTTCTATCCAGTTATGCAGTTGTCCAGAGATGCCATAAGATTTTAGTTTTAGGAGTAGTTTGTCGTGTACCACTGAATCAAAAGGCTTTACAGAAGTCTATGTAGATTGCGTCTATTGCTTTGCCCTGATCGAGTTGTGTAGTCCATATGTTCTTGCAGTGTAAGAGTTGCAGATTACAGGATAGTTTTTTTCCTGAAACCAAATTGTTTATTAGAGAGTAGGTTGTTTGTTTCTAAGTGGAGGATGATGGATTGATTAATAATTGATTCCATGACTTTACAGGTGACGCAGCATAAGGAGATTGGTCTGTAATTTTCAACTAGGCTGGGGTCTCCCTTTTTGAAGATGGAGATGACCGTGGCTTGTGACCATAGTTTTGTCAAGGAGCTGGTCCTGAAAGATTTTTCAAAGATTATGCTTAGAGGTTCGGCTATGGCAGTGGGTAGCTTTTTAAAGTAGTAGGCACATATTTCATCCGGTCCAATAGATAGAGCTGGTTTTAGATTGCAAAGTGCTTTTTCAACATTGTCTTCTGTAAAATCAATATGTATTAGATCATTGTAGTTGTCTGTGGTTTGGCTAGGAAATACTGGGCATGCTCCATTGCTGTTTACAAATACTGAGCCAAAGAATGTGTTAAAGAGGTTTGCTCTGATGGTGTCATCATTGCAGTCTTTGCCATTAGGTCCTTTCAGGGGTGGGAAGGAGCTTGACTCTTTTAGTTTGTTGTTTACAAAATTGTAGAAAGCACGGGTGGAATTGGTGCATAGAAGGTTTTCCTCTTGTTTAATGTGATAATTGGTGCATTCAGTCTTTATCTGGTGGCATAAATTTTTGTATCGGCTTTTGAATTTGGTAACGTGACCAGATTTGTTTTTCCGCCAAAGTGATCTCTTTTTGGATTGAAGCTTCCTTATGGTTTGGGGTAATTTGTTTTTTCTGGTTTTGAGAGTTGTTAATGGTACATATAGTTTGATGACTCTTTTGACTTCAAGTAAAAATATGTTGTAATGGTCTTCTACAGTATTGCATCCAGAGAATAGAAATTGCCAAGCAAGGGATGAGAGATCGTTGTTTATAAGATCATACTTACCTTTTTTGAAGTTATAATTGGGGATTATGTCATTGTGATGATTTTTATGTGGACGTATGTTGAGTCAAAAGTCCATCATGTTGTGATCACTGTTGGAACAGGGTTAATTTGTATTCCATAAATTGAATTCAAACTATTGCAGAAGATGAGATTGTGGCAGTTGTTAAATCTTGTTGGTTACTAGTTGTTCCAGTCCCAGATTTGTTACTGCATTGTAGAAGGTTGCATGTATGGGTTCAGTTGTACATTCATTTAGGATCCAGATAATATGAAGTAGATTAAAGTCACCAAGAAAGATAAAAGCATGTGGGCAGGATGCTGCCCATGTTAGTAGTGTATTTAGCTTGTTTGCATGTTCGATGTCATAATCAGGGGCTCTGTAACATAGTAAGAATCGAAATGTGATATTTAAGGGTAGTTCACAGACAATGGTCTCAGGAAGAGCAAGCTCCTGGGTAACTTGGATGTTTTTTAGATGTAAGGACTTTTCATAGAAGATAGCAACACCATCTCCTCTACAGATTTCACGATCTGATCGGTAAACATGATAGTCTCTTACTGTTGTAATGGAGTCAGGGAGAGATGCGTTGAGCCATGTTTCACAGACTAAATATAATGTTGAATTTAGCTGTATTTAGTAAGAGGAGAAATTCAGGTATTTTATTTACAATTTATTTCATTTAAGCTAATGGCATTCTGAGAACCCCCATTGCTGGTTCCTTCCAGCTTTGGTAGCCTTCAGAGGTGAAGACCAGCCCAAGGGACGGCCTTCAAAAAAGCGAGCCGGAAGGCAGGAGTCTCTCATTTCTCCCTCTTGACCATCCGTGGTCTCCATCCAAGATGTTCTTCTGATTCCCTCAAGTCTTTCCTGAAATGGAAAAGGGTGGAGGGAGACAGGCCCTTGGTTTGAAGATGGCTTTCCTCCTCAGAGGCCTCCTCTCTTTGAAGAAGCCTTCTGGCTGGAAGATGGAGAATCCTGCAAGGATCTTAAGGTTTCCCACCCACTGGGCTCAAGTGGGGTTTTCAAAGGTAGTGAAGCAATACAAATTAGCTCATTTGCTTCTCAGGTGTCACCTTAAACCAGCCTTGGAGATGTTAAGACGTGTGGACTTCAACTCCCAGAAGCTGACTGGGGGAATTCTGGGAGTTGAAGTCCACAGCACTCGTGGCAGTTGAAATTGGGCCCAAATGGCCGACGCAGATTAGAGCACTTTACGTCCCTTCTTTCCAACTCTCTTCTTCTGCTGGCCTTGCTTTCCAGCAGGCTCGAGAAAGTTTTGCCTCCCTTTGATAAATGTAAATAGAAATATAAATAATGTAAAAAAATCTGTTGTTCACATCTCTCTCTGCCTCTGGGCTTTAGCATGCCTCTTTCATCCCTTTTTTCCCTTGTTAACTGTTTTGATCTTGGCTGATGTTTAATAAATAAATGAAGAGCGGGGGTTTTTTTTTATCTTCGCTGAGTTGAGTGGCAGGTGTGCGTGCTCTGATATGGAAAGAGAATAGATTAGGAATGTCCTGGTTGCAAACTAAGGTGGAAATCCCCCACTGCAGTACTATATTGGTCTGCCATCTTTCTTTCTTTCTTTCCTTCTTCCTTCCTTTCGTTTCTTCTTTTTTTTCTTTCTTTTTCTTATCTATCTATCTATCTATCTATCTCTATCTATATCCATGTCTCTCTATATCGATCTATCTCTGTCTCTATTTATCCATCTATATCTATTTATCTCTTATCTGTCTTACACTATCTCTATCTATCTCATCTCTGTCTGTCTGTCTGTCTCTGCCTATCTCTATCCATCCATCTCTACCTGTCTGCCTCTCTATATCTATTTGTCTCTATCATCTATCTATTTATCCAGCTATTTCTGTCCACCTATCTCTATTTATCTTTTACCTCTCTCACACTATATCTCTATCTATTTCTGTCTTTCTGTCTGTCTGTCTGTCTGTCATCTATATCTATCTATCTATCTATCTATCTATCTATCTATCTATCTATCTATCTATCTATCTATCATCTATCTATCTATCTATCTATCTGTATCCATGTCTATCTGTATCCATGTCTATCTGTATCCATGTCTATCTGTATCCATGTCTATCTGTATCCATGTCTATCTCTATCTCTATCTATCTATCCATCCATCTCTATCTACCTGCCTCTCTATATCTATTTTCTCCATCATCTAACTGTTTATCCAGATATTTCTGTCCACCTATCTCTATTTATCTCTTACCTCTTTCACACTAGATCTCTATGTCTGTCTGTCTGTCTATCTATTTATATCTATTTATGTCTATCTCTATCCTTCATCTATCTGTCTTCCCTCCCTCCATTCCTCCCTCCATTCCTCCCTCCAGCTATCAATTTTGTCCGCTGCCGTCCCTCCTTTTCGTACCCTTTCAAGTAGGAACAGCGGCTCCGCCACCCCTAAACGGCACCCCCATTTGCACCCCTTCCTCTCGCCTAGATCGCGTTATGCCGAGTTCCAGGTCAACTGCCAGCCTTCTGGGCTCCTCTCAGGAACCGGATGCCAGAAAGAGAACTACGCCGCCTGTTTATTGGCCTACACCGGCATCATAGGTAGGGAATCTGAGGTTTTTTTTAAAAAAAAATTAATGCTATCAAGAACGAGAGGAGAGGGGAATTTTTCCGGGGTTGGACTAGAAGACCTCTATCAACTCATAAAACATTCCTATGCCTGTTTTAGTAGTTGCCATTAAAAAGGGGGGTGAGGGAGATCTGAAAGAGCAGTGCAGCAAGGCGAAAGTACATTCCAACTCTTATCTTTAAAAGATTGTAACTAAACTACCAGAGTTTTTCCGCCTGGGAATATGTTTAATTGGAGAACGTGATTAATGACACCCAGCCTGCGAACGTGCTCAATTGGAGAATCTGATTTATGACACACCCAGGGGGGAGGGAGGGGGGAAACAGGGTCCCAGAGGACTGTAAATGACTATGCCAGAGTTGGCTTCATCCAAGGAATGTCAATATGTCGCCTCTAATAAATCCTTTGAAGTTTTTTGAAGTTTGGCTCGAGAATCATGATTTAATTAGGGCGATTGCTGGAATCCTGACAACCTCCAAGCTCTGTTCCAAATCTGTTATTCTGTTATACTCTGTCTCTGGAGATTCTCAGTCATCCAGGTCATGGCTATCCCAAAAGTAGTTTTTGCAAAAAGCCAGCTTTGTTTTTCCTTGAAGATGTTTCACTTCTCCTCCGAGAAGTTTCTTCAGTTCTGAAACTTGCTCTACTCAGAAACCCACTCAATTCTACCCATATATTTGGAGATACCTATGGAAATCTGCCCCACTGGGCTTTTAGCTCACCACAAAGGATCCCCATGCATGCCAACAGTGGCTGGTCTTGAAAGAGCATCCGATGTGCTTACCGCATGGATGGGAGACCACAAATCGATCTCACAATTGCAGCTTGGGTGAAGAAATGGAAAACATGACTCAGAAGTAGCAGTTACCACTTCCCTGTTGTTAACTGGAAAACAGCGTGAATAATTATGTGCCTTCATTCAAAGTTGAGTTTGATTGGTGCAAGATTTTACATTTCCTTAATTTTAGTCCTCTGCTGTCTAAATCTTGCTCCAATCTTGCCTTCTCCTTTTCACCAGTGAAGGAACAGCTATGTGTAAGAATAGGTAGTAAAAAATAGTGAGGACTAGAAACTTGCTAAGCTAGAATAGCTGAGTGCCAGAGGTGTGACTCCGTTTTGTGCGTTGCTAGCAACTTTTGGTAAAATGTTAGATGAAGAATGATAAGATAGATAGATAGATAGATAGATAGATAGATAGATAGATAGATAGA